GTTATTGCATTTCTTGGAAGAAATATAGAAGTGACCCTTCAGCCTCATTGGAGGAAATCGGTACAAGTGTTTGGATTGGCGAGTTCCTCGAGTCCGACTCACACGACTTGGTTTCCCACTCGAGTCCTGGCTGTGGTGCGGGCCTGGGACGGAGGAGGAAACTTACCGGTTCCCACTGGTAAGTGGCAGAAGCGGATAAAACAATAGCGTGATGTCATTATTAGTACAGAGATCTGCATTTGAAATACCAGTTATTATGAAGTAATTCCAGTAAATGAAATCTCCAGATCATACACCATAACAATATAATCTGATTTCCGCATAAAAAAAAAAAAAAAAAAAAAAAAAAAAAAAAAATCAATACAGATATATTTTATTTACTGCCACAGTAACAAGAAAGAAATAAAGAAAACAACATGACACGTGCAAGACGAGTTACCAAGTCTTGCACTCTTGGAGCACCACTCCCAGTTTTCCCGCATTATTTTCCCAATTTCAGATGATTAGCCAATTAAGAGTATGGTCTAGAATAGCCCTCCCCTCCCTCCCTCTCCCCCTCCCCCGTGAAGCTCTGGCACTCCTTGCAGCCTTGTAAACAAACGTCCACGTCCGATTATAAGAAAACGTTTCCTAAAATGTACAAAACGTTGACACGACGAGCGAGAGAGCGAGAGAGCGAGAGAGAGAGAGAGAGATAGAGAGAGAGAGAGAGAGAGAGAGAAAGAAGAGAAAGAAAGAAAGAAAGAAAAAGAACTGGTACGCGAATATAAAATAGTTGTCTGACGTCCCCTTTCCAAAATGACTATATATAGGAAAAAAAAACGTAAAGGGGTAAAAAATACCGAATTATTTTCCCTTAGAGTCGGATATTGTTTTGTAAAGCTGGTGTAATTAGTAACAGAGTGACATCAACGAGGCAGCTGGCCCACCGCCTCATGGCCGCGTCACGTACTCACGCGCCCAAGGAGGAAAGTAAGGAGAAGGAAACGAAAGAGGCAGGGAAGGGAAAAGTAGGGGGGGGGGGGGAGAGAAGAGGGAGAAGGAGGGAAGGAGGGAGGGAGGGACGGAGGGAGGAGGGAAGGAGGGCGGAGGGAGGAGGAGCGGAGGGTGAGAGAGAGAGAGAGAGAGAGAGAGAGAGAGAGAGAGAGAGAGAGAGAGAGAGAGAGAGAGAGAGAGAGAGAGGAGAGAGAAGAAGAGAGAGAGAGAGAAAGAGAGAAAGAGAGAGAGAGAAGAAAACGAGCACTAAGCAACCACTTTGTAACCCCCTTACCTACATCCCTCCCTCCGCATCACCCCCTATCAACAACCCTCACTCCTACATACACCCCTTTCCCCCCTACCGGCACCCCACCCCTCCCTCTATCCCTCCCCTCCCAGCCCCCTCCCCACCATGAGCGGATCAATCAAAGACGCCGCCATCACCTTAATGGCCGCTCGTCGTCTGATCGGCTGCTGACTGCTCTATGGCGTCAGGAGAGAGAAGCCGCGTCCTCTTTCTGCCATTTTCTGCCATCTTTCTTTCTTACTCCGTTGCAGCTTGGAAACAGTCAGGCAATTTTTTTTTTCTTTCTCGCCTCCCACGGAATCGATCGCATATACGTTCACAGTCAACAGCTGATCACGTCGGCCATCTTGGATTCGTCGATCCCGCCCACATAACGTTCGACCCTCGTTATTGCGGAGGCGCCTTTACTGCGACCAAGGGAGGGGGGGGGGGGGAGTGACACGGGAAGGAGGTTCAAGAGAAGGTAAGAGAAAAGTAAGAGAGGGAGATGGAGAGAGGGAGAGAAGGGAGAGGGAGAGGGAGGGAGAGGGAGAGGAGGGAGGGAGAGGGAGAGGAGGGAGGAGAGGGAGTGGAAGGAGGGGAGAGGGAGAGGGAGAGGAGGGAGGGAGAGGGAGAGGGAGAGGAGGGAGGGAGAGGGAGAGGAGAGAGGGAGGAGAGGGAGAGGGAGGGAGGAAAGAGGGAGATGGAGAGAGGAGAGGGAGGAGAGGGAGAGGGAAGGAAGGGAGGGAGGGGAGGAGAGGAGAGGAAGGGAGGAGGAGGGAGGAAGAGGGAGATGGGAGGGGGGGGAGGAGGGGAGAGAGAGAGAGAGAGAGAGAGAGAGAGAGAGAGAGAGAGAGAGAGAGAGAGAGAGAGAGACGAGAGAGAGAGAGAGAAAGAAAGAAAGAAAGAAAGAGAGAGAGAGAGAAGAGAGAAGAG